GCTGGATTTATGCCGTGATTTAGGCCCTATATTGGAGCGTGAGACCAGAAGAACCAAAGCCATCCCGGTGCACACNATGGCCAAGGACCTGCCCCTGCAGGGTCGACATCGGATGTGATGACAGTGCTACTGGCATGTAACTGCTGAAGTCTTTGAGGTGAGGTGCTTTGGCTAACCCTAACTCTCCCCAGCCTCATGTTGAACATGTGCTCAGCTATCCTGCACAGCTGGTCTGCGCAGGACTTAAGAAGACTTGAGCTGATGTAATCTGGACCTGCAGCCTTCCTCACCTGGTCTATTGTGAGGGACAGACTGGGGAAGTGAGTGCTGGCAGTAGAAGGTAGCAGTGAGAGGGAACAGCATGGCTCTGAACATTCAGTAGATGTCCAGTTTGGCTGTATGAGGTAAGGTGGACGAGGCAGTGGGACTCTAGACAGGCAGTGGTGTCCCAGCCTCTGAGGAAAACGGTTCTCGGACTTGTTCCTCAGAGTAATATTACACTACACTGCTGATACTGTTGTTGAATAAACGGTTGTGCTTGTATTCAAGAACACCTCTAAAGACTCTGTATCAAAGAGGATCAAAAGTTTGGATGTCTGAATATATCAAGTAGCCACCAGTTCCCACCTGACCTCCTCACATGGCGGTTTGCTCACATGGCAGTTTGCTCACATGGCGGTTTGCTCACATGGCCTTATGCTCACATGGTGGTTTGCTCACATGGCGGTTTACTCACATGGTGGTTTGCTTATTGTCTGTTGGCTCTTGTGAAAGTTAGAAGCAGCTAAAGTTTACTGAGTCAGACGTCAATGTAAAGCGTTACAGTCAGTTAGGTTAGGGTCAAGTACCAAACACAATAAATGTATCAACTATGGTGCTTTAAATGGATTGCTTTGCAGATAAAACAGGACTAAATGTCCAAACACATGGGGAGCCAAATTCAACATCTGAGCTCTCGAGCTGCTAACAAATCCCAAGACTCATCATGCTATGGCAGCCATATGCCTCAACCAGCTGGCGTGAGGTTAAAGGTGAGAGAGAACAGGATAGCAGATAGAAAACAAACAGAGCATGAGAGAACAATGACCACAGTGGATGTCAGAGGCCAGTAAAGCAGGTCAGACATGTTTAGAAATGACAGAGATCTCTGCAGACAAGACAAAACCCAAACCAGAGGTTAGTGACACTTAGTATTAGTATCTAGAGTGACAGGGAGTCGAGGAAAAGGGCCTCACAATGGACTATGGTTAGAATAAATAAAAGACCAGAGAAGTGGGCTGGAAGAAAGTTCTGACAGCCGTGGACTGTGCCCGTTTTGCAGCAGTGTTTGAACGGATTTAGATCAGACTGAGGAACAAGATGTGTGATGACGAGATTCTGGGACAGTCAGCTGTTCTTCCCTGAAGAAGTGAAATCTTGCTGTAGTTGCCGTTGGGCAGCTTTACTAATGTGTTCTTTGGGATCAGATTCAGATGATTCTATCGCTGCCATTAATTCTGTTGAGCGTATGACGACAGCATGTATTTTTCATTTCATTAATTTTAACTGATAGCAATTAGTGCTAAACAGCATCTGAGAGCGGCTGTCTGCCTGAAGAGAGCAACAATCCAGAGAATACATAATGATGTTTGGCGACCTATACAGCCACCTTTGCAGAGTGTGATGGAAAATGACAACAGTCCAAAGTAAAATGAAGCTTTAAGTGCTGTTTCTGTGATCATTAATGAACGGAACTGAAAAAGTTGCTTTTAATGTGTGGAAGGGTTTGGGCATGAGTTCAGGTCATTAACAGCGAGTTCATAAAACTGCAATTTGAATGTTTAACTTGATACATGTGATGAATAACTAAATGTGTCATGAGCCCAGAGGGTATACAAGGGATTCACCGTCTGAAGGACCGAGGCCACAGTTTGCCTCTAACGGACATTCTAGCATGTCAGCAAAGACACGAAGCAATATTTGTGACATACTAGATTGTTTTTTCATATCCTGCCATATTCTGTATTCAGGTGTCAGAATGGAGGAATGTTTATTATTTGTACCTGTGCAGAACCACATTCATGAGTAAAAGTCCTAAGAGTTCGGTAGTTGACCTGAGCTAGATATTACAGGAGAGAGTCATCAGTGGCAGGGTTGCAGGGCTGAATCAGGGCTGACAGTGGCGGGCAAGTTGGTCTGACTTGAGGGTAGGAGGGAGAGCAAACTGGTTTTAGCAAGGGTCAGTGTAAATGGGCGAGGAGGCCTGACCTGGACTACCTGTGAAGCTGAGTGGAATTCCAAACAAGGCTAATGAGGCAGCAAGGTGATCGCTGAAGGCAGGAGACACAGCTCCCAAGCAGTTCAGTTCAGTTCCATTCTATTGTATTTGTATAGTGCAGTTTACAACAGGTTTAAACAGAACCCAACAATCCAGAGCAGCCTTTGGACTCTCTCTGAGCAACGGTGGGAAGGAACCAAACACAACCCCAATGGGAGGAAAAAAACCTCCGGCAGAACCAGGCTCAGGGAAGGAGGCCATCTGCCTGGACCGGTTGGGTGAGGGTGGAGATGGGGACGTAGCAGGAAAGCAGATGGAGAGCAGCAATAGAACAGAACAACTAATATGAATATAAGTGTTCTGGGGATCGGTGAGGCCAGCGGCTGGAGGTCAGAGACGTGAAGCTCCAGATCCAGAGATGTCTGCAGAGAGAACAAGCTGATAAGAAGACTGGAGTGATGGGGTGGTGTGTAAACCGTTAAAAACAAAGGCGTGGTGCTCAGATGATGTGTGACTTGTTTTGAGGTTAGCGAGTCTTTAGCGATGGAGGCAGTTCCGCCTCCTCTCTTACCGTCTCACAGAAAATAAAAAGTTAAAATTCGGTAGAGAAGCCTCGGTGAGAACAACAGATGCGTCGGTGCTGATCCGTGTCTAACCCCCTATGTGAAATCAGATGATTCATAAAAAAAGTTCTGTTTAAACGAGACGTTCAGCAGGGTTTGGGCTCATTGTGGCGATTCAACTGAATGACAGTTCTTGCTCTAACGACGGTCCAGTCGGTGATGTATGTGAGGGCAGTGGAGGTGGCATCCACTTCCTGTCTGGGCAAATCACACCACAGCTGATGCAGGCTCCACTCTGATGTAAAGACAGACAACAGCACAGCTGCCCCTTGACTTTTACCTAATGCAAGCTCAGGGAAATTAGGAGTTGCTGATTAATTCGTATAACCCCACCTGTGAGACAGCACGCAAAAAGAAAAAACTCAGTCAGTCAATGAGATGAGATCACTGAGACGCACGGCAGGAAGTGTCCAAGTTGCTGTGAACACATCCCTGGAAAGGAACCAGGAATCGATTTGCTTTGTTAGAACGCGTTGCGGAAAGACTGCTTTAATGTCATGAACCCAGAAACCTGGTCTATCACATCCCACCTTTTTCTGTTTGATGAGAAGGAAACATGAGGATGTGTGCAGGAACATGTGCTGCCCTCTCACTGCCTGAGCCGTTTGCCTCCGTAAGTGTTTATTCTGTTCTGTAATATGTTAGATGTCACGTATTAGTTGCTAGAACTACACCTTTGTGTCGATAGTTTGGTAACGTAACTTTATTTTCTCTATCGTTTGTCTGTGCAGTTTTACAAGCAAGCAAATTAATGGAAGAAAAATGAATGAATGGCTTCGGTCTCTGGAACAGCATGACTTGTGACTTCCTGTGTAGGCTACTTGCCTCAGTGAGGGCAGCACAGGAAGCACAGCCGAGCACTGTGCAAACAAATGAAGTGTTCATCAACGCCACATTATCTCTGGTTGTCTGTTTTAATTAATATTCCTCACGTTTGTTTGCAGAGCTGTGGATAACTGAAAGCTTAATGGACTGGCCATGATTCCTGGCTGGCCCTGAATACTTAAACAGATAAATGCTCTTGGAGTTTGACATAAATGATCATTTGGAAACTCGAGGGATTATAAAGCAGGTTCTGACTGACTGTCGGCTTCCATTCAAATGATGAGACACATTAATGAGGTCTGAACTTCAGGTATATAAAATAAATGTGGTGGTGACAATAAATGAACTGCTCTCTGCTCAACACAGTACGAATGTTTACAGGCCAAATATTACAATAGACGCGTTGTCATTGGCGACAAGAGTAGACGAAAGTACACGACAGGATACATGGGTTAGGCTTAAAATACACCAAATACACGACAGCATCATAGAGCTGCAGGGCCAGCCGGCCATGAGGACACTGGACATGAGCCAACACATGAATGGTCTGACGGGTCTGACGAATGTAACGAGTCCGACGAGTCTAATGAGTCTGATGAGTCTGACGGGTCTAAGGAGTCTGATGAGTCTGACAAGTCTGACGAGTCTAACCAGTCTGACGAGTCTAAGGTGTCTCAGGAGTCTGACGAGTCCGACGAGTCTGACCCGTCTGTCAAGTCTGACTAGTGTAACAAGTCTAACGAGTCTAAGGAGTCTGATGATTCTGATGAGTCTGACAAGTCTGATGAGTGCAACGAGTCTAATGAGTCTAACCAGTCTGAAAAGTCTAAGGAGTCTAGCGAGTCTGACGAGTCTGATGAGTCTAACCAGTCTGACGAGTCTAAGGAGTCTGATGAGTCTGACAAGTCTGATGAGTCTGACGAGTGTAACGAGTCTAATGAGTCTAACGAGTCTGACGAGTCCAATGAGTCTGACTAGCCTGACAAGTCTAAGGAGTCTGATGAGTCTAACCAGTCTGACGAGTCTAATGAGTCTGACAAGTGTAACGAGTCTAATGAGTCTAAGGAGTCTGGTGAGTCTGACGAGTCCGACGAGTCTTAGAAGTCAGAGTCTGACAAGTCTGACAAGTCTAATGAGTCTGACGAATGTAACGAGTCAAATGAGTCCAACGAGTCTGACTAGCCTGACGAGTCTAAGGAGTCTGAGTCTGACGAGTCTAACGAGTCTGACGTGTCTGACGAGTTTAATGGTCTAAGGAGTCTAATGAGTCTAACGAGTCTGATGACTCTAACCAGTCTGACGAGTCTAAGGAGTCTAAGGAGTCTGACGAGTCTAACCTGTCTGACGAGTCTAATGAGCCTAGCGAGTCTTACGAGTCTGACGACTCTAACCAGTCAGACGAGTCTAAGGAGTATGAGGAGTCTAACCAGTCTGACGAGTCTAACGAGTCTAAGGAGTCTAAGGAGTCTAAGGAGTCCAATGAGTCTAAGGAGTCTGAAGAGTCTGAGGAGTCTAAGGAGTCCGACGAGTCTGAGGAGTCTGATGAGTCTGACGAGTCTAATGAGTCTGACGAGTCTGAGGAGTCTAAGGAGTCTAAGGAGTCTAACGAGTCTTACGAGTCTGATGAGTGTAACAAGTCTGAGGAGTCTGACGAGTCTAACAGGTCTAATGAGTCCAGTCACTGACCATCTTCAAATTCACAGACTTTTCAAGTGGTTCAGGTTTACAATGATTGGAAATAAACGCAGATTTGCAGCACTTCAGTGAACACAGTTTGAGGAAGAAACTTGTTTTTTGATTTTTTTTTACTGTGCAGACCTCTGAAGGCTGGTGTAGGAGCGACACGGTGAGAGACGCGATGACGGGGTTAGCAACATGGTTAGCAACGTGGTTAGCAACGTGGTTAGCAACGTGGTTAGCGACGTGATGAGCGATGCGATGAGCGACGGGGTGAGCGACACGGTGAGCGACACGGTGAGCGACACGATGAGCGACGTGGTGAGCAACGTCGTGGGAAACGGTGTGAGCGACGTCGTGGGTGACGATGTGAGCGACATTGTGGGTGACGGGGTGAGCAACGTCGTGGGTGATGGTGTGGGTGAGGGTGTGAGCGA